GTTGGCTTATATCCCCTCTCAAATTGATCATTCGAGGAGTGAATGTTCAATTTGTTGCGAAGAGCCAGAAACCTTGTAGCGGACAGCGGTTTGGTGAAGATGTCGGCGATCTGATCGATGGAACTGAGGTGTGTGACCGAGATGTGCCCGGAGTCAAGATGATCGCGGATGAAGTGGTGGTCTATTTCGATGTGTTTCGTTCGTGCGTGGAAGACGGGATTATGTGCCAAAGCAATTGCTGATGTATTGTCACAGTGAATGACAGTTGGCGATGTCTGCGGAAGATGGAGTTCTTCAACAAGTAGGCGAAGCCAGAGGACCTCAGAGACGGCCGAGGAAAGTGCCCTATATTCAGCCTCGGTAGATGATTTTTCTACTGTAGTTTGCTTCTTGGAACACCAGGAGATTAGTGTTGAGCCAAGAAAGGTGCAGTGGCCGGTGATAGATTTCCGGTCTGCAGAATCTTCCACCCAATCCGCATCAACGAATGTTCGCAGCTGTAGATCATGTCGATCAATCTGTAGTCCGATGGTAGGAGTGTCCTTGATGTATCTTAGCAGCCTTTTAAGAGTAAGGAAGTCTTTTATTATGGGGTTGTGCATGTGTTGACAAATGGAGTTAACGACAAAGGCGATGTCAGGTCGTGTGATGGAAAGATACTGTAGTGAGCCAGCAATGGTGCGGTAGAGCTTTGGGTTCGAGTATGGCTGGATGTAGTGACTGGTTGGTGTGGATTTGGAGATCATTGGAGTGGCAACGGGCTTGCAATTCGAGAAGCCGGTTTTGTCCAGAATTTGGTTGGCATAGTGAGTCTGCTGTAAGAGTATCCGATTTGGAGATTGCGTGACTTGAATGCCCAGATATAACGAGACAGCAGCTATTTGCTTGATCTTAAACGTAGCTTGCAGATGTTCGAGAAGATGTTTGAGTGTTGTATCGTCGTTTCCTGTTAAGAGAATATCGTCGACATATATTAGGAAGTAGAGATGCACATTTTTATTTGTATAAAGGAGTAGAGAAGGATCAGAGCGACTAAACCTGAAACCAAATTGAAGAAGAAATGTGGTGAGTTTCTTGAACCATTGACGCGGAGCTTGTTTAAGTCCGTATAGAGACTTGTGTAATTTGCATACGTGGTTTGGAAGCTGAGAATCAACGAACCCTGTTGGTTGCCTCATGTATACATCTTCGGAGAGTTCTCCATGTAGAAACGCGTTTGAGACATCCAATTGTTGTATCTGCCAGTTGCGGTGTAGAGCGAGTGTGAGTAGTATGCGAATTGTAGGAACTTTAGCTACGGGGCTAAAGGTTTCGTTGTAATTGACTCCAAACTGTTGAGATAATCCTTGAGCTCCTAACCGTGCTTTGAATTTGTCAATTTGTCGAGAGGGAAGAGTTTTTAATTTGTACATCCATTTTGAGCCTAGGATCGGCTTGTTGGCTGGTAGAGGTACTAGCGACCAA